TTGATAAGAAATTTATTTGACATTACCTTTCAATAATTTATTTGGAATTTCTTGGAAAAAAGCATGTAAACAATTGGAAAATGGATTATTTTATTTCAAATTCAATTTTAATAAGCGGATATGAGACAGGATGTAATTATTTCGGATAAGTGATGGAAGACTCAGACATTGCATCAACATGTTTGTAGACAACTTATTGGTGATTAAATGTGAAAGGCAATGAATATTGTGTAAACAAATGTGTTTATATAAACGTGAATTTGAATTTGGTATAAATAAATAGTTGAGTAAATAAGATAACTTATTAATAATATAAGAATTTAAAACTATACACTTATCATTTTTAGGTGTAAATATTAGTGATGTAACGAATATTCGGTTACTATTCGGTATTCGGCCTATTTGGCCTATTTTTCGCTATTCGGCCGAATACCGAATATTTAATCACTATTCGGCCAAATACCGAATACCTAAAAACAGGAGTAAGTAATAACAAAAACACAGTAAATTAATCATTTTGGTATTTAGATTTAATGTTATTGGGTTAGTGTTGTTTGTTTATATTTATTTATAACTTGTAACATGCACAAAAAAAAAAATAAAAATATTAGTCACTTGTATTCACAATTTATAATTACAAAAATCAGCTCACGTACACACCTATTTGTTTCAGAATCTTCGCACATCTGAAAGTCTGACCCTGCCTATCCTTCTTTTTAATCGCTCATCTTTGCTCTTCTCTTTCTCTTTCCTCTATCGCTCTAGTCCACGTATGCCTATGCATACATCATAATACGCACTCATGATATTTTTGATTTGTCACTTTTCCGTCGTAGATTTCCCATTTTACAATTACGTGACTCATAGCCTGGTGATAACGGAGAAGAGAGACAGATAGGACGTCCGTATAAGTCACAGTTATGATTTCACAGATTCGAGACAGCTTGGTAGCCCGAACGGCCCCGGGCTTTCGCCCGTGCACGCTAAGTAACTTTAATTACAAGCATTTATCTTTCCGAAGTCTATGACAACAATTGTTTGGCATTGACGGCCGCGAACTTCGCACCAATAAGTTGCCTTGACTTGTTCGATTATGTTATCAACTCAATTTCATATTTATTTTCTTCTCTGTTCTTTTTTCATTATTTACACGTGTAGGTCATTTCATTGTTATCCACATTTGATATCATCGTTTATCACATACTGCCATGACGCTCATGTCTGTCCGCTACAACTGTCAAGAATTAACGTGATTCGCGAAGTGTAGTGACAGCGGGCAATAGAGAACTGGGTCCTTGCCATAATGTGGTTTGCGCGCCAATTATCGTACGTGCGTTAATCAAGCCGAATGGTTTGGCCGAATATACTATTCGTTACAACACTAGTAAATATACATATAAGCAAATGATCAGTATAATACTAAACATGTTTAAACTATTCTAAAATTTAAACAACATAATTGTCAAATTTTCTATATATTTTTGAAAATATGATGTACAGTATAAATTTGTATGTATAAATGTCTTACAAACAAAAAAATAAAACAGTATGTTCCAAGAATAAGANTACAACAGTAGTAAATATACATATAAGCAAATGATCAGTATAATACTAAACATGTTTAAACTATTCTAAAATTTAAACAACATGATTGTCAGATTTTCTATATATTTTTGAAAATATGATGTATAAATTTGTATTTATAAATGTCTTACAAACAAAAAAAAATAGAACAGTATGTTCCAAGAATAAGACATGTCAAACAAAAAATAATGGTAAAAATACAGTTTCTAACACCATGCATAAATCTATGTACATACAGTACATGTATATATAAAAATGTACCGTATTTTGACGAGTATAAGTCGCTGTTAAGTATAAGACACCCATATTTTGAGACAAAAAATTTAGAAAAAACTTTTTTAATGGGATTGTCTAAAGATGCATTTTATTCGTTTTTTTATTCAAGAATATGACGGATGGATGAATCGATACCTTTATTAAACTGAAATATACTAAAACCCCAAACTTACGCAATAGATGGGACCGAGCGATAACCGCGTAAGTCGAATTCGCGTAAGTCGGGGTATAATTTCGCATATAAATGCATACAAATAATTTTTAATTGGGGCCGGAGACTAAAGAAAACAATAATTTAGAAAAAAATGTTTTATAAAATCTTAGATAATACATGTGTTGCCTATAACAAATTATATTATTATACAATTTTTCACATTTACTTGATTATCACACCATAATTTTAACATCGTTTCCATCTCAGGGATAATACCGTGACGTTTACGAATGATGCTCGAATTTAAAGATTGAGCATTTTTTACAGCTTCGTGAATTTTTTCTTTATCTTTTATAATTGTTCTGACCGTCGATTCCGGTAGATCAAAGTTCTTTGCCAATTCACGAATTTTCATTTTTGTATTGAAATCTTTAATAATGTTAACTTTACATTTCAAAGATAAAGTTTTTCTTTTCTTGTTTGATGCAGAAGAATCAATTATACTTCGTTTGGATGACATAGTAGAGTCTCTCGAGTCTCCGTAGATATAACAAACACAGAAATAAATAACACAAAATAAATTGTAGCTATGTGTCGATTCCGCGTGACACGTCCGAACATGTAAGCCGAACAATAGTGTGGTGGGAGTGAGTAATGGAGAGTTGCGTGGCGCTCAAACAAAAGACGAATCGACAAGATTTGAAAATCGCATAACTCCGGGTTCGCGTAAGTCGGTGTAGTATAAGTCGGGGTATTACTGTAATATCATTTCTTAATGTAAACTCAAAGGTCACGTGATGACAGTCGACAGAACATGGCGGTGATGACTCGTGTGTCGCTACTCTGATAATCTAGATACTCTAGCCCAGTGTTTTTCAACCAGGGTGCCGCGGCACCTTAGGGTGCCACGACACCCTGGGTGCCACGACACCTTAGGTGCACACGACACCCAATCGTGGCGTCGTGGCACCTTAGGGTGCCACGACGCCATGATTGGGGTGTCGCAAAGTTTAGGGCCTTTAGTCATTTTCTTGGAAATTTACTTAAGTGTAGTTCAAGATAACTCATTGTCAGTTCTATTTTGCTACGAGATATCTAGTAAGCAAAGAAACGATGACTAATTGCATGTTAATATAATGTTCTACGCTATGTGTA